TAATTTACTTTTGTTTTTTAACATCATTTTTAACTTTGTTTTGGTCAATTTGATCGTCCACACCGATAGACAGTATTCAGAAAGAGACACAGAGAGAGAGAAGAGGGGAGGAGTTGATCTTGCGAGAACTTCCGGGCGGGTGAGAATAGCCACTTTCTTGTTCTTTTTAGTATGTCAATAAACATTAGTTCTGTCTTAGGCCCACTGTACAAAAGGAGTTCGTCTTTGCTGCTTTCCTCTTTTCAAACGCCTAGTTGTGCTTCAATTTGGGGGTGCTGGTATGGGGTGTAGTGGGTGATGGTATGGGGTACATGCCATGACAGACACCCCGACACGTGACGGTATGGGGTACATGTCATGGCATGCGTCAAGTCTAGGTTAGGAGTCTTCTTTATATACACTATCTGACTAAAGACTTCACCCCACACCTACAGGCACAGGAAAGGCTGGCCTCTCAACTAAACGAAATTTTGGGTCGATGTTTTGGAAAGAGCCGAAGTTATGGACGGTAATGCAAAAGTTCACTTCTGGAAATAGTCATCACAAAACACTAAGGTGACGGTATGCCGTACATAGGCTCTAGATTAGAGATCTAGATATATAGCCTAGATCTAGATCTAGATCTAGATATATGTAGATCTAGATATAGATCTCTAGATTTAGATCTAGATCTAGATCTAGATCTAGAATATAGATCTAGATTCTAGATATCTAGAGTTAGAGATCTAGATCTATCTCATTTTCACACAGGCCATTTGACACCAGCCACTCTGCAAAACAGATCAAGCTAAGCATGTGTGAACCCCCAATAGTTTACCTGTCTAGAGGGTGCATGGGGTGGTCTCGCCTGGTCCCCTGCGTACACTTTCATTCTGTTCCATTCACTTATCGCCTGTCTGAGGGCATAGCTTCCACCAAGGACCAAGGCTGTCACACGTAGTGCAGGCTTAATTTTTATGTTGAACTTCCGCGAATTCTCTGTCCGTGATGAATAAAGACGGACATTTGTCCGACACTGACGAAAAGATTTAGGGGCAACATTCTGAAAATTTACGAACGATTTACTAATCTTTCCGGCAGCGAGAAGCCGTCCCTGCAAATTGAAGGGCGCCGCCATGTTTGTTTTGTTTTATAACTTGTGTTTGGCTATTGCTCCGTACTGTTTCCAAGATATCCAACGCCCTCATGGGCCTCTTGCCTGCACCTCGTGATGAGCCTTGACGGGACCCATAGGCCTAGGCCTACAACAACAGTACAAGTTGTTTGAAGGCCAAGGCCTAGGCCTATGTCTTTGTGCCACAGAATTCTATTAGGTATATAATGCTGTTCTTTGTACGTATCGGAGAGAAAGGATATAGGCCTAGGCCTAGACCAGATTCCTTCCAGACGCCCTCACAGCGTTGAACCTTGAAGGGACCTTTACAATGAATATAATATGTGTATATTCTAAGAGTCGGCAAATTAGCAGACACCCTCCAAACACGCTGATAAGCCTACTATTATGGTCCTTGGCTGGACCCTTATTTTTATTAGTAATGACGGCGAGATATGGAACAACCTCAAACTCCAAACTCTCTAGTGTCAGTATGTATTTTATACACACAGTTCATCATATTAGATCTACCCTGGGTGAAAATACAGTCAAAACTGTATAAGACGGCTAGCCATTGTCCAGGAGGGAAATGGCCATTCTAGATAGGTGCCCCACTACTATACCATTATGATTATAGGCCCTGTATTGTTTTAAATAACGCAAAGGAGGCGCAAAGGG